AAGATATCTAAGAATATTGATAATAGGCTCCACCAACATATTTAATTAGTCTTGGGTGGGGTTTATGCAGTTCCTTATTGGAAAAGCTTCCCAGATGATTCTAATATATAATTAGTCTGGAGAACTACTTATTTAAACAAGATCTTATAAATCACTTCAATATTGTTTCATAGCAATAATTGCAATCACTATTTTATTATCATAGGAGATGATAACTTTAATTTTAGTTTTCATTTAATTTTTAAACAAGATCTTATAGATCACTTCAATATTGTTTCATAGCAATAATTACAATCACTATTTTATTATCATAGGAGATGATAACTTTAATTTTAGTTTTCATTTAATTTTTTTAACACACAGCTTTTCTGTCTTAAAGTATGTTTAAACAGTAACTCTTAAGTATACATTTCACTTGCCTACAGATTTTGAAGAGTTCTTAGGGCATAACTTTTTATTTTCAGATTATAGTTTTGAATAAAAATAAGCTTAGGAAATAGACACTAGTATTGAAATTTTAAAGAATAAAATATTCCACATTAAGTTATCAGTCTGACAAAAGAATAAAATTTTGTTCGTTGACTCAGATTCTGAGGAGAGATTGACATCAGTGTGTTAATCTCCAGGGTATTGAAAATTTTAGCAGAGAAAGCCATACTTGAAATGATCCTTAAAATCTATACTGTCTGAAGATCACTCATTAATATGGTGCCACTAGAACCAAGTAAAGTTTCTTTCATACAAAATAAAAGAAACAGGAAAAATAAATTAAAATATTAAAATAACAATTACTTTGGGTTTGGGTTTGTTTTAATGTGATGTCTTTCCATATAAACCTCTTAGTTTCTTCTAAAACCTGTCTGTTTTTCTTTGGTATCATTTTAAGGAAACCAGTGAAAGAGCTATTACTTATGATTGGAAATGAAATGGCCAACCCCATTTAAAGAGTGATAGATTATTGGATACTTAACAAAAATTAGCAAGAATAGTGATAGAAATATTAAAGAAACTCATATTAACCCTTTAAACAGTCATATTTTAAAGATGAGGAAACTAGGTCTTATGGAATTTATTGATTCAAGTTCACACAGGTAGGGTCAGATGACACTGGAATAAATATCTTTTTGACTTGAGTGGCAATGTGCTTAATCTCTGTCCTTTCTATTCACGTGCTCCTTGCTTACACCCCTTCACTCGTCAGCTCCTCTCAATTTGGGTTGGTTCCGATAAGGGGCTCTCATTTCTCAAAATTACTGGATTCACTTGAGCCTCAAATTGAAGGTTTTGGACCCTGTAAACTAAACAGAGAAGTGTTTGGTATGAAAGATAATGACTGTGAAAGCAGGGGACTCAGATTTTAGCCCCACACCTGCTCTGAGAAGTTTCAGGGTGAAGCCTTTTACTTTTGCTTAGTTAAATGTTCCCTACTATATTCCAACACAAAATACCCTCCCCCCCCACCCCCCACCCCAGAGAGCTAGTTTTCTAATATTTTAACAAATACTATTTGAGTACTTTTCATTATAGCATTTACATTCTGTACATCAACGAATTTTAGGAGACATGTAAGGTATTATGTATGCTTCTTTTTTGTTTGTTTGTTTGTTTGCTTGTTTTGCTGTGCTGGGTCTTCCTTGCTGCGTGCCAGATTTCTCTAGTTGTGCCAAGTGGAGAACTACCAGGCTCTAGAGTGTGCAGGCTTCAGTAGCTGTGGCACACAGGCTTAGTTGCCACGAGGCATGCGGGATCTTAGTTCTCGGACCAGAGATTGAACCCATATCTCCTGCATTGGCAAGTGGACTCTTAATCACTGAGCCACCACACAAGTCCCTATTTTTAACTGATATCCATTTTATCTGCACTAAGGGAGGTGAAACCACTCATGCAAGCTAGCATTCACTCAGATACTGCTAATGCAGTGAATATTCCATCAGATGAAAGAAGCCTCTTATTCCATTTGTGTGTGTACATGTGTGTGCTTATACATGTATGACTATATTTATTCTTAGATCCAGATTCCTGAGAGAGTCGTGTGCCGAATAGTAATTATCCTAAGATATAGAATGATCCCAAATACACAAAAGCAGCAGTGATTCACCCTTACTCTTTCTTCCCTCTAACCTTAATTTAATATTCCTGATCTCTCTACATTTTCATTCTGCTGACTGATTTCCAGCTTGTGATTTCCCTTATATTCCTCCAGAATATGATTAAATTTCCCCCCCCAAAAAAGCCCATTGATTGGTATTTTCTATAAGTAATTAAAAGTATTGATCTTTTACATAGGTTTCATAATACAAGAGAATGTCAGAATGATATGAACTCATATGTTACTTTTATTCTCTATGTCTAGTCCAGTACCTGGGCTTTGCATCAGTGTCCATTGGAAAAGATTAGAATAGAGGAAACAACAGAAATCTGGGTGAGTTGGAGAACCAATGAAAACAACAGATGCATTACAAAATGCGTATTTGGATTAAATGTTTAAATGTTTAAACAAAATCTCAAACCTCTCCTTAGTTTTGTCTTTTGTGGTATCTAGGTTTCCTTGTAATTCCACCCACTAGTCTTGTTGTATTCAATAAAAGACTTATATTTACATCTCCCATGTCATTGTAATGTGCATAGCTGTGTTTTTTTTTTAAGCTACTTTGTGTTGTACCCATATAAGTCTTCCTCCATTATAATCAGAACATGAGGTGGTTTTGTGAAAGGACAATGATCCAAAGGGGGAAAAAACACATGCACTTATTGCTGCATTTGGAAGATCTTTTTACACACATTTACATATGTATTCATTTATCTTATAGGCATTGTTTGGTGTTAGATTGGTCATTTCTTTCTCACATTCTTTATATGTCATTTATTTTTCCAATTTACTTTTTGGTCAGAAGTTTGTCTATTTTAATATACGGGTTTTTTTTACATATGCTACTATCATTTCTCATCAGTTTTAACTGTGACCATTTTATTTTTAAATATGAATACCATTTGTCAAATATACAGAGTTCCCTTATCTTAGTATAGGTTTAAATGGCTTCCAAAGCATTTTCCTCTTTTATCATTATTTTTTGATGATCCTGAATCTAGACATAATTTAAGATCTAGTAAAATTATATATGTGTGTGTGTGTGTGTGTGTGTGTGTGTGTGTGTGTGTGTGTGTGTATACAGTTGACCCTTGAAAACAGGGGTTTGAACTGCATGGATCCACTTCTAAGAAGGTTTCTTTTCATAGCAAATACTATAAAACTGCATGATCCTGAGTTGATTAAACCCATGGATTGAGAGGAACTATGGACACTGAGAACCAACTATAAATTATACAAAGACTTTTGACTGTGCAGAGGGTCAGTGCACCTAATTCCCATGTTGTTCAACTGTCAACTCGATATATCCGTGTGTGTATATGTGCTGTGTATGTGTTGTTGCTTTTGTTTAGTTGCTAAGTTCTGTCAGACTCTTCTGTGACCCTATGAACTGCAGCCCACCAGGCTCCTCTGTCCATGGGATTTTCCAGGTAAGAATACTGCAGTGGGTTGCCATTCCCTTCTCCAGGGAATCTTACCAATGCAGAAATCAAGCCCATGTCTTCTATGTCTCCTGCATTGACAAGCAGATTCTTCACCACTGAGCCACATGGGAAGCCCGAGTGTATATTGTAGACATATCTATACAGGTACAAGCTTCGCAGGTGGGGCAGTGATGAAGAGTCTGCCTGCCAATGCAGGAGACACGGATTCAATCCCTGCGTGGGGAAGATCCCATGAAGAAGGAGATGGCAGCCCACTCCAGTATTCTTGCCTGGGAAATCCCATGGACAAAGGAGCCTGGTGGTCCATGATTGAGCACACATCTGTATCTGTATAAGGATATAGACATAAATAAGTAATACTTTCTTTTTTTTACTTGATAATAATGATATGTGAACATAAATGCAGTTTTATATACCACAAGTGTTTCAATAGTGATTTATTTTCTTACAAAATGAAGTTATGTGTGACATATATGATAGTTTAGTTAACAGTCAGTCTTCATTAGCATACATGAAAAAGTATAGTGAGTAAATAAAGTTACACCAACCAGATTTTCAAGGTCTGGGCCTGGGATTAGATAAAAGCAATCTGAGGATGGTTAGCATCTATAATTACAAATATTTGTAGCATTAAGTCTAATAGCAGTATCGATCCTCACATAGATAATTCCTGCTGCTGTTATTCACCAATTTAACGCTGGCATATTGCACTACCTCTCACTAACTCATGAGCTCACAGACAGTGTGATTCATGCCCCTAGTCTTTGAATATAAACACACTGTGATAAAACTTGTCTAAATTTGAAACATAAATTAGTGAAGAATTAATCAGTTTGGCAAAGGCGTTAAACAACATTCTAGCCTCTTGACAATTTCAAGACTCTTATCCAGCAGGTTGTTTTAAGATGAAATTTTCTCCTGATGCAAGATTTGGGTGCCACCATCAATAATTCAGTTGTTGATAGGAACTTAAATGTGAAGTTTAATATTCTGATAATAAATGTATTGAGTATCAATACAGGAACTAAAATCTTATTATGAAACTGTATGTACATTTTTGGTCAACTGAATAACTTGATTTCCTCCAACATATCCTTTTTCTTTCCTTTGCCCAGACTGCTGTCTATCTTTGCATAGGAACAGCCTGATAGATTTTACTCTGGAGATTACTATTTTGGAAGATTTTTTTAAAAGCTTAGCTACTCTCTCCAATGTGAATTTTAGCCATAACAGGAAAGAGCTTGATGTTGTTTCTTGGAATACTTTTCTCATTCTATAAAATGTCAAACCACTTGGTAAAACATCCAGAAATATAAGACAGAGGAATGTTTTGAGTAGTGTTGTTCTCTTAGAAAATAATTGGACTCTATTTCACAAGACAGACTGTTAGAATGAGATTATGATCAGAAAGGAAACTCTTCTAAACTCAGTGTTATGGAACCAAACTTGGATCTTCTCACCTGCCAATTTACTGACTTGGTTTTGGTGAGGGAAAGTGCAGTGTTTATTTTCAGGGCACCAAGCAAGGAGAACAAGAAGCTCATGCTCAAAAGACAAGTTCCCCGATGTCTTTCAGAGAGGAGTTTTTAAAGGCAGCATTTGGAATAAGGCCTGCAGGATGTATGACTTCCTTCTGATTGGTTGGTGGTGAGGTGACTTCCTTCTGATTGGTTGGTGGTGAGGTGACTTCCTTCTGATTGGTTGGTGGTGAGGTAACAGAGTGATGTGTCAGGAATCTTAATCATCAGTCTCCTGGTTCCAAAGACTCTGAGGTCTAGCGCTGGTGTTCAACATATGGTCACCACCTACCACTTGGGCAGGGATTCCTGTGGAGCAACTCAAAGATATGTGTTATGTTGTTATGTATATCCTTTGAAGAGGAACTAGAACTCATTTTTTTCTGAACTACTGTTGGCACTTTCTTGTTAACTGATTTTCCTTTGTTTATGCTTTCTCTCACCTCTCTAATTAGTAAATACTTAGTCTGCTCTTTGGAACTCAGGGAAGGCATAAGAGACTAGAGCCTTTTCAGCAAACAGTAAATAGGGCACATAGAGAAGCTTTTCTACCCGGGAGGACCCTGCAGGGTCCCACATGGTTGTAGTCTCCCCTTTTGTTTTGTACTTCTCAAGCCAGAGGGGAAGGGGGACAGGGCAGAAAAGGGAATAAAGTTTCAGATATGGAGGTAAGTCACAGACTCAACAGTGGAACTTGGTTTTAGGGGGACTTGATTTCAAAACCTCACAAAATATTTGATTTTAGGTGATGGCCACCAGATTTGAAAAAAGCATTCACCAAATTATAAACATAATTCAACCATTGTTACTACATTTTGAATATCAAATTTGGGTATCAAATTTGATTACCTAACAGATGCTTAAATTGACTATACCTTTTTGAACTTTAAAATTAGGCCTTTACATCTCATTATCTAAATTTTCTTAGTACCAATGACATAGAATCCCTAGCATGCCAGAACACTAGTGACATTTAGGCTCATGGTAGTAGTTCTCAAAAGTCATTATCTTACTTCTTTTGGAGTTACCCCAGATCATCGATAACATGTTTTATTTCTACTATTGTGATACAATTTCTGCTTTAAGATTTGACATTTCTTAGCCTTATCTCAAACATAGAATGTTAAAGACCATAGCTTAATTAACTACAATCTTAAAGACAAGTGGCCACTACTGGCAATTAAAGTATGTCACCATCCTCCACATTTGTTTTTAAGTTGCTGAGTCGTGTCTGACTCTTTGTGACCCCATGGACTGCAGCATGCCAAGCTTCCCTGTCCTTCACTCTCTCCTGGAGTTTGCTCAAACTCATGTCCATTGAGTTGGTGATGTGATCCAACTATCTCATCCTCTGTTGCCCCCTTCTCTCCTGACCTCAATCTTTCCCAACATCAGGGTCTTTTCCAATGAGTTGGCTCTTTGCATCAGCTAGCCAAATTTTTGGAGCTCCAGCTTCAGCATCAGTCCTTCCAATGAATATTCAGGGTTGAATTCCTTTAGGATTGATTCTCCACATTACCAAAGTATAAATTATTTCTTTATATAAAACACATATTTATAACATAAAACACACAAATGCTGTAATGAGCAGTAAGGGTCCCCTAAACAGTCTATTAACCCCATTTAATCTACAATGTGATTTTAATTATAGAACCATTACTAACCTATTTCTGGTGTTCAGGAGCAATTAGTCATGTGATACAAGAAGGAAAATAAAAGTGTCATTCCCCATTTCCTCTCCACATACTTCTGATTCAGGAAGAAAATGACATTTTCTGTAATTTTTTTTCTGTAACTTTCCTATATTTTTTCTCTATGCTTCATTCTACTTCTATTTTTTTTCACTATTTCTCTTTACTAATACTCTTCCAAATCATTTGCCTCCACCTAATCAAAACCATAGTTCTACTAATTATTTACAAAAAATTCTCATGATATCTGTTAATTATTAAGTTTACCTACATGATGTGGGAATGATATCTAGTTCCTCATACTGGCAACTTGAATTTTCATCTTGTAAAATCAAAGTCGTTGTAGAAAGGAAAAATAAACCCTCAGGTACCATAGAAAGGCATATATCTGGGCAGAGATTCCAAAAGATGGAACAAGCCTTCTCTGGAATTTACACCTCAGAATTAGCTTCCATATGTGTTCTTTCTGCTTTTCATACTTTTTTTACCTCTCCCTATTTCAGAATCTACAAATTCTTAAAGAATTTTTAGTATTTTTTTAACAGGTCCAATGACTGCCATAGGAGCCAGGTTTCCCAGAGAAGGGAATAAATGTAGTGGCTTTCACATCAGATTATTTGTAGTTTGTGATGTGCTTGTTAGAAACATAAGGATTTAAATCTCTTTGGATAAAGAAAATACACATGCACACTCTTTAGGTTCTTACTTTTGTTATCCCTCTTTAGGCTAAAATCTTTATTAAGCCCTGACCTCTGTGATTATGGCTCCTAGAATTATTCTAGTTTACTTAGCACTCTCTTGTTTAAACTTAATCTATTTTGCTTTATTATTTTTTCCTTTCTTTTTAATTTTTTTTTGTCTGTGTGTAAGTAGTATCTTGTTACAATCCATATTTTTATCTTTTAGTCCATACTTTTTACCCTAATCAGGTGTCTATAATTGTCCTTTCTCTGAGTAGATTACTCTTTGGCTGAAAAATTTGGATATTTCTTCCCCAGATAGAAATATGTGTCCTAATCAGAAGTAGTTTTATTTTTCCTTTCAAGGTTTCCTTGCTCTCACTTACAGCAACTTCTCTTTTGACCTCAGGCCTTGTGCTTGACCTTGTCTCTAGTATTAATCAGCAAACGCTGTGTATTTCTTGACACCTAACATTTATTTTTTATAGCATGTGGCTTCTAGCTAGTTATTCCATTTTTTACTTGCCTATTCAGTATATTACCTTTGATGACATGATAGCAGTTTTGTAGTTTAAATGCACTCTTCTACTTTCTTGATCTTTAGAAAACGTTGCTCAGCCTACTTATTTTGTCAAAAGTGGCTTTAAGACAGTGCTTTGACCCATAAGATCTGAGACTTTCAACTCTCAGTCACATATCCATGTAGGGATAAATGAATGAATGTATGTATATAGGTATGTGTGCATGTATGTGAATGGTTTTCTCTGGTGGCTCAGACGATAAACAGGAGACCCAGGTTCTATCCCTGAGTCAGGAAGATGCCCTGGAAAAGAGAATGGCAACCCATTCCAGTATTCTTGCCTGGGGAATTCCATGGATAAAGGAGCCTGGAGGCTATAGTCCATGGGGTCTCAAAGTGGTGCACACCTGTTTATCTCTAATCTATGTCTGCCTTTCTTTCATCAATCTCACAACATATGGGTCTTGCATAAATACTTTGGATTAAAAGATAGGTGAAAATAGCCAAATTTTTGGAGCTCCAGCTTCAGCATCAGTCCTTCCAATGAATATTCAGGGTTGAATTCCTTTAGGATTGATTCTCCACATTACCAAAGTATAAATTATTTCTTTATATAAAACACATATTTATAACATAAAACACAGAAATGCTGTAATGAGCAGTAAGGGTCCCCTAAACAGTCTATTAACCCCATTTAATCTACAATGTGATTTTAATTATAGAACCATTACTAACCTATTTCTGGTGTTCAGGAGCAATTAGTCATGTGATACAAGAAGGAAAATAAAAGTGTCATTCCCCATTTCCTCTCCACATACTTCTGATTCAGGAAGAAAATGACATTTTCTGTAATTTTTTTTCTGTAACTTTCCTATATTTTTTCTCTATGCTTCATTCTACTTCTATTTTTTTTCACTATTTCTCTTTACTAATACTCTTCCAAATCATTTGCCTCCACCTAATCAAAACCATAGTTCTACTAATTATTTACAAAAAATTCTCATGATATCTGTTAATTATTAAGTTTACCTACATGATGTGGGAATGATATCTAGTTCCTCATACTGGCAACTTGAATTTTCATCTTGTAAAATCAAAGTCGTTGTAGAAAGGAAAAATAAACCCTCAGGTACCATAGAAAGGCATATATCTGGGCAGAGATTCCAAAAGATGGAACAAGCCTTCTCTGGAATTTACACCTCAGAATTAGCTTCCATATGTGTTCTTTCTGCTTTTCATACTTTTTTTACCTTTCCCTATTTCAGAATCTACAAATTCTTAAAGAATTTTTAGTATTTTTTTAACAGGTCCAATGACTGCCATAGGAGCCAGGTTTCCCAGAGAAGGGAATAGATGTAGTGGCTTTCACATCAGATTATTTGTAGTTTGTGATGTGCTTGTTAGAAACATAAGGATTTAAATCTCTTTGGATAAAGAAAATACACATGCACACTCTTTAGGTTCTTACTTTTGTTATCCCTCTTTAGGCTAAAATCTTTATTAAGCCCTGACCTCTGTGATTATGGCTCCTAGAATTATTCTAGTTTACTTAGCACTCTCTTGTTTAAACTTAATCTATTTTGCTTTATTATTTTTTCCTTTCTTTTTAATTTTTTTTTTGTCTGTGTGTAAGTAGTATCTTGTTACAATCCATATTTTTATCTTTTAGTCCATACTTTTTACCCTAATCAGGTGTCTATAATTGTCCTTTCTCTGAGTAGATTACTCTTTGGCTGAAAAATTTGGATATTTCTTCCCCAGATAGAAATATGTGTCCTAATCAGAAGTAGTTTTATTTTTCCTTTCAAGGTTTCCTTGCTCTCACTTACAGCAACTTCTCTTTTGACCTCAGGCCTTGTGCTTGACCTTGTCTCTAGTATTAATCAGCAAACGCTGTGTATTTCTTGACACCTAACGTTTATTTTTTATAGCATGTGGCTTCTAGCTAGTTATTCCATTTTTTACTTGCCTATTCAGTATATTACCTTTGATGACATGATAGCAGTTTTGTAGTTTAAATGCACTCTTCTACTTTCTTGATCTTTAGAAAACGTTGCTCAGCCTACTTATTTTGTCAAAAGTGGCTTTAAGACAGTGCTTTGACCCATAAGATCTGAGACTTTCAACTCTCAGTCACATATCCATGTAGGGATAAATGAATGAATGTATGTATATAGGTATGTGTGCATGTATGTGAATGGTTTTCTCTGGTGGCTCAGACGATAAACAGGAGACCCAGGTTCTATCCCTGAGTCAGGAAGATGCCCTGGAAAAGAGAATGGCAACCCATTCTGGTATTCTTGCCTGGGGAATTCCATGGATAAAGGAGCCTGGAGGCTATAGTCCATGGGGTCTCAAAGTGGTGCACACCTGTTTATCTCTAATCTATGTCTGCCTTTCTTTCATCAATCTCACAAC